AAATTACATATTCTAATAATTATATGTGCATATTACAGAAGAATTTATTTTAAAATTTTAAATAAAGAAACGAATTCTCCAAATGCCCTCATGTATGCTTATTAATATGTTGCATTCAGCTCACAAGAAACCGATCCCCATGTGCATTTCTGTGCTTTATGTCAATCTTTTTTCTCCTTTTTTTCATTTTGAAAGAGATTTCTCAGCCACTACCTCCATTACCCTACAATTGTTTATTTCCATGCCGAAGCTTTTCTTATTTTTCTATTAGACCATTCACACTGTGTTTGTCTCTGTGTGTGTGTGTGTGAGAGAGAGAGAGAGAGAGAGAGAGGAGGTGGAATTGCACGTATATTTTAGCAATATTTTTTTCACTTCGCTCACGTTTTACAACCATTATTTGGATAAAATGAAATTTTGAATAGTGATTTTTTGAATAATGTATAATTGAAAAGTAGGAAAAAGTTTTGGGTATATATACAGAATTTTTTATTGTGTGAATGTATGATTAAAAATGAGTATGTACAATTTTTTTTAAATAATGGTTGTCAAACAGGGGTTTCCCTAACCCTACTTGGTACACGGTGTTTTACTTAAATTTAATGACGCAATTCACTTTTAGAAAGGATGTCTATGGTAAGGTTTACGAAAATAAGATATATTTTCAAGAATTAATTAGAATTATGGATATAGGAGGTCTCGCAAAAACTCGCTTCAAAGGATCTTCAAAACAGTGTTTTTAGGCTCAATTCCACGTTACCTTTCTTTAGAGGTGACAAAAGAGCTAAGTAGCTCATCGGCTCGGCTTGTTAAGGGCTCGTTTGGCGAGCGGCTCGTGGGTTCTTAAAAAATGTGAACAAAAAAGTAAAAAAAAATAATAATAATAAATAAATAAATAAAACTCAAATGAGAAAGTGATGAGCCAAATAATCACTACATGGTTCAAGATTCAAAGCCTTCAATAGGTAAATATATATGAACCGTGAGTAATATTAATTTCTTACATTACTACGTTCTCACAAGACAACATACTAACATTAAGTTAATCAACAAACGACCAACGCATATGCAAAAAATGCATAAATGACTCACAAAAAGATCTCACCACACTTATCATATTGTTTTACTCATCAGCCAAAACATATGAAATTCAATCCAATGTTTACGTCATAGCGTAGAATTCATTGGGTATCAAAACCTAA